ACATATTAACAACTAGTGGTTGTAATAGGTATAATTATGCACCTCAAAGTGGCGCCCTATATTAAATTACTAGAGGTGTTTTCTGTTTCTTTTTGCTTTGTTTATCCTAAGAGATTCATGACCGTTTGTTTCTTTTTTCTGTAGTTGCCCAATCCGACCCCTTGCCATTTACTTATCCACGAGCCCAGCTCTCCTAACAAACCCTGAGTGCTGTTCGCACAAGTAGCGATTATTTTGCTTGCCTTATCTACACCCCCTTAGTTTTAGTTCCCAATTTTCTACCCGTTGTATTAATACCCCATGTGGTAGGCAAAATATTTTCGTTACAACATATCAACATTTTGGTCACACACACAATTATTGCCACAGGAGTCCGCGCTGTGTAAAATGCGTGGAGGATCACCTATCATCTTAATGTCCAAAACTAAAGAATATAAAAGATTTTTAATGGGTAAATTATATAGAAAATAATTCTGCCAGCTATAAGGGATCTTCAGTATATAAAAAACTGCAGAAAAAAAAAATTCCAACACTTCGAAAAAAAAACCCTAGTCAACTACCTCGTGCAGTACATTCTTCAATCAATCAACTTACTATCAGCTATGCGAAAATTGTTGCAGGAAGAGATAATAGAAATACATTTACGATGGATGGGACTTCTCATGTAATAGAAACAACAACTTCTTAACATATACAAAATAATCTAGAACTAATAGTACATAATTTATTGAAAATAATGGATAAGATGTATGATCTCATTATGTCTCTGATATCTAAGCTTAACTTTCAACACTTAACTTAATATGTGCTATTGGAATGCCAAAGTCCGAACCACTTATTTTTACGAATTTAAAGCATTTATTTACCCTCATAATCTAGATGTTATGTTTATTTCCGAAGCACACATGACTGATAAGAGTCATTTCTATATTCTCAAATATTCAACCTATGCAACTCAACATCCATGAGGTAAAGTCCATAAAATTACGCAATTATTACGCAAGAAATAACATTAATCACCATGAAATAAATAAAGTAAGTAAAGTTAATATCCAAGCCACATCAGTGTCGGTCGAAGATTTTATGGACCCGATTATTTTATCTACTGTTTACTGTCCACCGAATAAAATAATTAAAGCTGAATATTTTACTGAATTTAGATGCTCGGACACCATTTTACTACTGCTGGAGATTATAATGCCAAACATCATAAATGAAGTTCAAGAATCATAACCTCACGTGGACGGGAATTATTAAAAAATATTATTGAGAATCATATAAATCATTTAATATCTTTCACTACTGGAAAGCCTGCGTATTAGCCCACTGATAGACAAAAAATTCCTGATCTTATTGATTTCGCTATAGTAAATGGAATATCACATACCTATCTAAAAATTTCTTCTTCATTTGACCATCATCAGATCATTCCCCTTTCTTGATAGATCTACAAAGCCAAATTCATATCTGTCCTAAACTTTTATCACTGTCTACTAAAAGAACAAACTGGAACAGATATAAAGAAGAAATAAAAACATCCATTAACCTAAACTTGGCTCTTAAAAGTGACAGCGACATAGAAAATGCAGTTGCTCACGGTACTATGGTTATTCAACAAACTGCTTGGACGTCCACCCCAGAGATAAATAAATAAATAACAAACACAACTTCCAGTCCTATTCTACTCACATAAATATACTTATAGTAGAAAAAGAAAACTGCGAAAGAGGTGGTAGCTTACTAGGCATCCAAAAAAAAAGCAAATCTTAATGGATCTTGCAGATAATTCAAAAGAAAACTGATCCAACATAAAGACAATGAAATTAACAAATATTTAGAAAACCTCTTATCTGCAGTTGATACAAACTATTTGCTGTGGAAACCAACAAAAAAACTTTAACACAACGAACAAATGTATTCAATGCCAATCAGGAAACAAAGTGGCACTTGGGCTAAAACTGACATAGATAAAGCATATACTTTTGCAAATCATCTTTGTAAGGTATTTCAACCGCAACAGATAGAAGTGGCAGTTAAAGAAGAGCAAGTTATTTACGAAGTCGTAAATGCATTATATCAAATGGCTCTATCTCTTACATCTGTTAAAAAATCTGAAATCAAAGAAATAATTGTTAATCTGGAAATTAAAAAGTCACCTGGATATTACTTACTATCTAGTTTTGTACTAAAAAATCTACCCAACGAAGGCGTAAGTTAAATTACTTTATATAATATATTTAATTCAATAATAAAAACAGGTTATTTATTATGTACAGTTACTTAAATTGTTCTTATTACAAAACCTAATAAGGTTCACACGGAAGTATCTTCATATCGCCAATTTAGCTTGTTGCCTAGTATATCCAAAGTATTTGAACGGCTTTTTCTAAGAAGACTGAAGCTTATTTTATATGACAGTAATGATTTACCAAATTATCAGTTTGAGTTTAGGAAACAACATGGTACTATCGAGCAAATGCATAGGGTGGTAAATACTATCAGAAATTCACTCGAACAAACAAATTACTGTAGTGCTGCATTTATTAAGCTGTCTCTTAAGCATTCGACAAAGTTTGGCATATAGGTCTTATTTCTAAAATTAAATCTATATTTCCTCATGCCATAAGTTCAATTTTAAGATCCTTTTTTTCAAGTTAAAAGAGGTAAGTAAATCACTAACCCGTTTCTAATTTGTTCCGTAGATCCATAAGGAAGTATACTAGGACACACCCTCTACCTAATATAATACATTTATACACACTTAATATCACATTTTCCATTGACGACCAATACAGCAATCGCTACATATGCCGATGACACAGTTTTCGTGGCTTCAAATTCTACAGCAACTGAAGCATCCCAGGTACTACAAAATCACTTAGGTACCTAAACTTAAGAGCTGGCTAAAACTGTGGCGAGTCCAAATTAACAGTTTAAAATAAACACAAATAACGTTTACTTTAAAAAAAGGTGTCGCGTTTCCAGATTATATAAACAACACTCCACTACCAGTTAATACCGTTGTGAAATACTTAATAATTTATTTGGATAAAAAACATAATTGGGGAATCCACATCTGGAAGAAACACCTTTAACAGCTTAATCTAATCTACAGGAAATGTATTGGTACAATAGTCGAAAGTCAAATCTTAGCAAAATCTTGGAGAACAAACTTCTAATACATAAATGTATTTTAGAACCGGTATGGTAATATGAAGTACAAAGTAATCTGGGTTACAGCAAGTAATACCAACATACACAAGGAACAAAAAGTACTGCGGCAGATCTGCAACGCCCTTTGGTATATTACGAACCACATATTACACCACGATTAACAGTTACTAACAGTTAACGAAGCTATATCTGCTGTGAACTCTGGACCCAAAACCAGACTATCTTACCATCCAAATCCACTGACAATGGATCTGCTTAACATTTTACACGTAAGAGGATTAAAACAACCAGGCCCTTTCAACCTTTAATAAATCTGCTGAAACAGGGCATACTGTCATAGTGCGGTGCAATAATAAGTTTTTATTCTGGTGTTTTCTAATTCTCTTTTTAATTTTTTTAGTCGTGTAATACTAATAGGTGTGTTATATATATGTTATAATACTCATGTCTTTAAATTAAGTGTTATATCATAGCTTATATTTATATTATGCCTTACCTGGGTGCTCCCACTATGTTATTGTACATAAATTATACATATTGCTTATTGTTTGTATGGAGACAGATTGAAATAAACATTGGATGTAAAATAAAAAAAAATAAATAAATAAGCGTGCATTGTGTACATTTCACCAAAGTCACTTGTCCATCAAAGGACCTTATAGGCGCTATACCCTTTGTGCTTCGTCTAAAAAGTAACAAACGCGCAGCAATTGGATTTGTCAAGTTTGTAACGTTGCTCTATGCAAAGACTGGTTTGTACTCTACCATAGTAGATAGAAAGTTCTTAGATAATAAATTTAAAATATTCCTGTATTTAGTTTTTTTTTATTTTTAAAATAATTTTTTTTTGTAATGTTTTTTAATTATTTTTACCGGTTGCTATATATACCATTGTCCAGTAAGTATTATTTGTTTGTCAAATGCTCACTGGTAGCTATATCTACCACACTTTGCCTTCGTTCTGACAAAGCAATTTTCTTCAAACCTTTTTGTCTTGTTAATTGAATTACTTTACCTTTTCAAAAGTATATTTTTACCAAAAAAAAAACTTCTGCCCAATAAATGGTTCATAAATGTAACTACACTGGTCGATTCAGATATAAAAACATACACAAGTGTTACGATTAATTAATAAAATAATTTTAATCCTTATGTAGTGTAGTGTGATGTACAATTTTATGTTTATGACATTTTATTCTTGTTGGATAGGCCACAATTAAAGAAATGCCCCCGAAGATACTCTATGAAGCGAAAGTACTTGGGCAAGATTTAATTATTTAAGCTGTGCTTTTTATATGCCTTTTATATGATCAAAGTAAACTTTAATTCTTGTATTGTGTTTTTCGTATATTCAAGTAGCAATAAATACGCGAAGAATAAAAATGATAATGAAAATAAATCAGACGAAAAAAAAAATAAAGACAAATACACGCACATTTTTTTCTCCAAATAGCAGACAAATTAACAAATCCCAAACATAATTTACCAATTTTAACATTAGAATCAGAACACCCAATAATCAATATAAAAACTGGGAACACTGTTGAAATGGTTATTGTCCATGCTGAAATTAATAAATTTTTTGGTGAGATAATAGATAAAAATGACTATAAATTTAGTAAAAATAATATTAGAAATAATCAACTATTCTGATAAGTCATATGCTTATTTTTTGCTTGTGTTCATAATTTAAAATAGTTGTTGCATTATGGACACTAATTCACCATATTTATTTTATGTCTAATAGTATTATCTTATGTTTTAAAAATCTTCATAAAATTAAAAAATGCTATTAATGCAACTAATTAATTTTCAACCTATATTACCTCACAGCTTCCTCTATGTGGATAAGCTTAATGTACGACTTTACAAAGCCCGTGAATTCCATGCCTAACTAATGAGCCATCAACTTTAGTGGTCACTTGAATATTTCATAATGTTTCATACAACAATATATTTAATTATTTAACAATTATTCTGACCGTTCTCAGTAGCGGTTTTGATAACTATTTTAGTTATTCCTGTGTGAATCCGTTGTTTTTATATCTATCATTTTCTATTTAAATTTTTCTGTGAACGAAATATTAGAAAACAGTAATATTAAAGAAAGCTGGGAAAAACTTAAAAATAACATAATTATCGCAGCAACAGAATCAAATGGAGAGAGGAAAGTAACGAACACTAATATATACAAAAAAACTCCATGGTTTAAATCATCGGACGAGGAGAGAATAACGAATAAACTCGTAAAGTACAGAGGACCAGATCTCACCAAACAACTATTAGACCTAATCCTAGAACAAAGCAAAATACCACAAGAATGTGGTATCCAAAAGGGAAACAAAGCTGACAAATCTTACAAATTTAAAAAAGTATAGGGGCATTAATTTATTGAACACAACTAGAATAACAATTAAAGTGATAACAACTAAACTTAATGAACTTACAAGACTAGCAGAATAACAATAGGTTTTAGGTTAATAGGATCACCGATGATATATTTATAATAAGTGTGTAAAAGAAATAAACAGAATACAACAAACCGGCATATCTATGTTCCCTGGACATCAAGAGGTCATTTGACAAAGTTAAGTGAAAGGATGTTATCTATTTATTGCACGCAAGAGAGATACCCCTTTTTCTTCTTTTTCTTGATGTGCATTCGTAACGGATAGGAACATAGCAACTCGGAAGAGCTGCACATATGTTGTGTTGAGACAGATTCTGAGGTTCTTTCACCAAGAAATTCTTCTTTTTTCTGGACTTTCTTTTCCAAATATTTTTCCTTGCAGGATGACTTATAGTAGAACATATCTGGATTCATTTCGCATAATCTGCCCAAAGAACTGTAATTTTTAAGATTTGATAATGGTCAGTACCTCTCGTTACTTATTCATTCTTCTAAGGACCTCCTCATTTGTGACGCGGTCAGTCCACGGGATCTTAAGCATTTTCTGATATAGCCACATCTCAAATGCTTCCAGTTTTCTGCACATATCTTCGTTCAAGGTCCACGATTCAACATCATAAAACAGGACGGAAAAGTACCTTACTTTTGTATCAAGATAAAGGTTGTGTCTCTTGAAGAAGGTCCCCATCCGATTGAAGGTGGGTCTATCTTTTCCGATGCGTGCTCTAATCTCCTAGTTGTTGGTCAATTCTTCATTTATTATGGTGCTGAGGTAGTTGTAGTGCGTCACTCTTTTTACACCGGATTCTTTAACGTAGAGTTGACCTTCTGGTATCCTTTTCCTGCTATCATAAGCTTTGTCCTCTTAACATTTATATTGAGTCTATATTGTTGACTGTAACACGCAATTTTGTTCATAAGAACTTGTAGGACTTCTAAGTTGTCCGCAAATACTATGGTGTCATCTGCCTATCTGATGCTGTTTCTTCTTAAAGTGCCCTCTTCTCAATGGAGGTTGGCTACTACAATTTTAAACTCTTCTCTATCTTCAGCTGTTCTTATTAGCTGTTCAAAATTTAGCCCTGTCCATTGTCGGATGTTTCTGAGCCACGATTGTCTTTTCCTTCCTAGGCCTCTCTTTCCCTCGATTTTTCCTTTCACTATAGGTTGGGCATATTGGTACTTATTATTTCTCAGTATGTGGCCTAGGTATGATGTTTTTCTAACTTTTACTGTGTTAAAAAGTTCTCTTTCCTTGCCTATTCTATGCAGCACTTCTCCGTTTGAGGTATGCGATGTCCATGAAATTTTGAGTATTCTCCGGTAGATCCACATTTCAAAGGCCTCTAATTTATTTACGGTTGATGTTTCGACGTTTCGCATATAGAAGAGTCGACCATACGTAGCATTTTGATAAACGTAGTCGAATTTCGAGTTTTATTCGAGAATCACAAAGCAGTTTTTATATTTTTTCGAAAGATTTTCTGGCCTGTTCTATTCTTGATTTTATTTCTTGATCAGAGTTTAGGCTGCTATCGATCCAACATCCTAGGTACTTAAATCTATTGACCTGTTCTAAGATGTGCCCATTTATTGTGCAAGGTTGAGGTACGTTTTGGTTTTTCCGGATTGACATTACTTTGGTTTTTTTAATGTTTATTTTCATACCAAATTGCTCACAGGTCGAGTTGGTCTTGTCGATGAGTCCTTGTAGACCTGAGTCGGAATCCGCAATTAACGCTGTATCATCGGCGTATCTGATACTGTTGATATTTACGCCATTTACCTTGACTCCATCCTTGGAATCCTCCAATGCTTCTTTAAATAGAAACTCGGAGTAAAGATTAAACAGCAGAGGCGACAGAACACATCCTTGTCTAACTCTCCTCCTAATTTTTACTTCTGCGGATGTGGAACCTTCGATCCTAACTCTGGCGTTTTGGTTCCAGTACAAGTTTTTTAAGAATTTGATGTCTTTTTCATCTACACTGACTTCTTGCAAACGTTCTAATAGTAGGTCGTGTCTTACTCTAGCAAATGCTTTTTCGAAGTCTATAAAGCATATAAATATATATTTCTGTTGGTCGTAGCATTTTTGGGCGAGAACTAGTAAACTGAACAGGGCTTCTCTCGTTCCCATGCCGGCTCTGTATCCAAACTGATCGTCTCCGATGATTGTTTCGCACTTTTTATAGATACGATTATGGACGATTTTTAGTAGGACTTTTACTGCATGACTCATAAGGCTTATCAGACGGAACTCATTGCAGTGTTGTGGGTTTGGCTTTTTTGGTAGTGGGATGAATATTGACTCTAGCCAATCTTGGGGTATTTTACCTGTATCATAGATGCGATTGAATAAAAGGACCAATAATTCGATATTTTCTTCGCTGATTAATTTGAGCATTTCTGGGTATATTCCGTCTGGACCTAGGCTTTTATTTGTTTTGAGATGATTAATTGCATTCATGATTTCAGATTTTAGAATTGTTGTCCCTTCGTTGTTATTTTAAAATCTTGGTTCTTCTCGTATGTCGTGAAAAAGAATTTTAATATAGTTTCCCATTCTTTTGGGATGTTGTTTAACATCATTTAAACATTCAGTTTTGTGCAGCAAAGTTTTGATAAATAATCTTTCAGAGTAGAGATTGAAGATTAGAGAAGACAAAATACAGCCTAGCCTGACTCCACGCATAATTTTCACATACTCAGTGTGGTCAACTTTAACCCTGAGATTTCCTGTCTGATTTTATTTAAGATTTTTAATATTTTTTAGATTTTGGTTGTTAATTACTGTTTCTTTTAGTATTTGCATCATCTTGGCGTACTGTACTCGATCAAACGCTTTCTTGTAATCAACCAGATATGCGGATACGTAGCAGTTGACGTCTCTGCATCTCTGGAATAAGAGTTGTACTGAGAAAAAAGAAGTTATGTATAGCTGTTTATTAATTTATGTGAAAATTATCCATTTAAGATTCTGAGTTGATTATGTTTGCATAAATCTATGCATCTTTCATCATTTTCAATTAGAGCTTTTTAATTGCATTTACAACTGCCAGAACAAAAGTCTTCAAGATAGCCAATTGTCTAGCTATGAACCTGGCTAAAGATCCCAAAAGTAAAAGGAAATCTCTTAACCCAAAAAAACCAAGATATTACACCTGAGCGTATAGTATGCCTCTAAGAGGATACACTGTTTTAGTGTGTCGCAAGTTTATTTAAGACTTGTTTCAAATTTCAATAAAACGCATACGAATTATTCAAAAAAAATTGTTGGGAGATTAATTTGAAGAAAAAAGAGGAAAACATTTGAATAGGTCCAGAAACATTTCAGATGATGTTAAGAAACCAGAAAGAAACCATAAGAAATGTCCAGAAACATTTGTTAAATAGAAACTCATTGTATGGGTTGTTCCAGGCCTTTTTAAAAGAAAGAAAAAAGGAAACTCTTAAGATGTCTTATAAAACATATTATCAGTACTTTAAAACTAAGTTTTCTCATTCTTTTCGCAAACCTAAAACAGATGTATGCGACTATTGCCAAGACTGTAAGATCAAGCTAAATATCAATGATAAAGACCCATGTATGCTTTTTTTGAAATCCACAAAAGGAAAGCAAATAAAAGAAAAAAACTGCGTGATATGTATTGTTATGATATGTAAAATCGAGAAAAATATTGGTTTGCTTAAAATATTTTAAAGTTCAAAAACATTAAAATAATTCAGATAAGTCAAACAATAAACTACAAACATTTCGAAGAAGTCTTTGAATTTTGGATTATCTGTATTTAACAAAACGTAAGATATGCATAAATTATTTTCTTTGTTAAAATATATTTGTATGACGTGAATAAGCTTACAAATACAAATGTATTTATATGACGTGAGCGAACTTAAGACAATTGAACCGGATTATTCAAATACATTAGTGCAGTGATTAGGACAATAGAATAGATTTTAGAAAGATAAGTTTTTGTTAGTTTTTAAGAATTGTAGAAACATATTATTTGTAAATAAGTTTTAGGAAATTTTATAATTATAGGTAAAAAATTGTTATCGAAATGAAAAAATGGGAGACGGATGACGCGTTTTGATTGGATGAAATTGAAAAAGCTGTAATGATTGGTTTGAGAATGGGACGTTAGTTAGTTTCGGAAAAAATAAAAGATAGTCAGTTGGTTTCCAAGGGTAGAAGGCGAACGGCCGTTGTTCTCGAGTAGTTTTACCAGAGGTAGGAAGCAGTAGCAGTGAAAGTTTGTGAGTTTTAGTGTAGTTAGTGTATCTGACAGAAGCTGATCCAGTAAAAGATTGTAAGTTATATTTTCTACTTATATTCCAAGAGTCACTGTTCAGGCCAACGAGAGATTTAGTTTATCGTAAAGAAAAGATATTCCAAGAGTCATTTTTCACTCAGGCCAACGAGAGATTTAGTTTATTGAGAGAAGAAGAAGCTAGCATAATTTAAACGATTTGTG